CTGCTGCACCCCCAAAATCCCAAATAAATTCATTAAAAATGTATATTGACAAAAATTCCACAAGAGCTCTCTTGGTGAGCATACACTAAATTCTATTTTTAAAGTTTTCATTGTAGATCCCAAAATTTCTGTTATGTACATTACTTTTTATATTATTTTATGGCAGAAATATAACATTTACTTTTTAAGAAATATCATTTTAAAATTACAAAAGCACAGAAATGAAGCACTCTTACTGCAGCCAAAAAGCCTCCTTTCTTACAGAATCCCGAGCTGAGTATCATCTCTGTATGACATTTGCTTTTCTGTCTACCTTTGATGTTCCTGTGAAATACATTCTTTTCTCTACTAGAATGGGAAGTCCAGAGGGAATATTAAAAGGAAAAAGAAGAGTATGCTGTGATTTTTTAGAGACTCCTTAAATAGCAGGTAGGTTTTGTCTAAGCAGCTGTGCTTTTTTGTACAGAATTTCTTTCTTTTCTTTTTTTTTTTTTTTTTTTTTGTCTTTTTCATTTTTATCGGTGCCAGGGATCGAACTCATGACCACACACTTGCAAGGAAGGTGCTTATGCCACTGAGCTAAATCCCCTGTCCCAGCAATTCTTCAACTTTTACAATGTGTTTAATAGAAATAAGTGACACACATGTCATATAACAGACATGCGAAGGTTCATCACAGTTTCATCACAAGAGCCCAACCAGCAAACAACCCATTTCAGTCACCAGGAAATGGATGGGAAAACCCTATCATATTTGAGATGGTCTGAATGTTTGTGTCCCCTTCAAATCAACATGATGAAGACACATTGGCTTGTGTGTTTATACTGAGAGGCGAGGCCTTTGGAAGGTGATTAGGCCATTCTTGTCAGCCTTGTGCCAGGGTCAGTGCCCTGGAGAAGAGGTCGAGCGAGTTGCTCGTTTCTTCTGCCGTCTGCTACAGCCATGAGGTCCCATCTGTGGGGAGCGGGTCTTCACCAGACACCAAACCTGCTGGTGCTTTGATCTGGGACTTTCTCACAGAACTAGAAGCAATACATTCCTGACGTTTGAAAGTACCTACACATACGTATTTTCCTACAGCAGCCCAAAGAAAGCCAATCTCCACATAACAGAAAACTGCACAGGAATGAAAAAGACTAAACTGTTCCATGCAGAAAATTAAAACATCTCGCAGAAAATGGAGTGAAAGAAGCCAGCCACAAAAGTCTGCACCATCTAATTCCACTGAAACAAGGTTCCAAACCTGACGTGTGGTGGTGGAATTGAGAACGGTGATCTCCTTTCAGAGGGCAGTAACTAGGAGCAGGTAAGAAGGCAGAGTGGTGTACTGGTAACATGCACTTCTCAAGAAGCACAGTGGCTTTATGGTTATATTCATTTTGTACGTCTTCAGTGTACTGTACACTTGTAAAATGTGTGTTTTTCGGTGGGTAGGTGACACAGCACTAAAATATTCAGTAAGATAATAAATCAAATTAAACTTTAATGCAGGGTCATGTTTTTATTCCCAGGTGTGACATCTACCCTGGGCTGCTTAGACTGAAGCATGAGCACTCTAATTCAGAATACTGCAATAATCAATCACGTCCATGGAAACTGGAAATCATTAACAGAAGCAAGACGGAAGCTGACTAGCAAACTTTCCGTACAGACACCACGCGATGCACCGTCCTGGCTCAATATGTTTCCTGTCAGCCACCTGGGACCGCTCACAATTTGTACACTCAGTGATGAGGAGGAACAAATAAGCACGGCCTCAGAGTTCGGGGTGGCCAAGGTGCTATTTGTGAGGACCACAGCCACAGAGCTTTCTCACAGAACACGCGAATGGTTAGCGTAGGTCATGAAAATGCCATTCTGAAGTGGAAGGTTTACAATGTCCTGCTGAAGTTATTTTAAAAAGTGGCCAAAAGAGAAGCAATGAAAAGATGATGAACATCAGCTACTAAGGGCATCTGCTGCCATGTCCTGTAAGGGGCAGTGAGTAAGCCAAGAAATGGCCTTGTGGCCAGCATAGGTACAGCCCTAGTGACCACAAACAGAGCGATCATCTGCCTACTTGATTCTAACTGGCACAGTACACCCCGGACCTTGCCTACCTTTATTTTTCCTCTGTTGAAGTTCATATAGGATACCGTGTTAGTCAGCTTTGCCCTACTATAATAAAATACCTGACATAAGTAAGTTATGAAGAGGAAAGGTTTATTTTAGCTCACAGTTTTGAAGGTTTCTGACATTTGGACTCACTGCTTTGGGCTCCATTGCTTGGGCCCGTGGGAATGCAGTGCAGCCTGGCAAATGCCCATGGCAGAGCAAGCAAATTACATCAGGAGCCAGCTATCAAGGAGATCCTTGAAGGGGCCAGAGTCCCAGAATACCCCTCAAGGGCATGCCCCCTCATGGCCCCACAGACCTCACCTCCTAAAGGTTCCACCATCTGCTGATAGCATCATCCCAGGAAGTCAACCTTGCAGGGACCTTCAGGGTGCAGCCTCCAGCAGAATCCACTGAAGGCCTCTATGTGCACCCCACTGGCACCCAGCAGTGCCAACTGACCATTTCAGCCCTTCAGCCACAGTGAGTAGCTGCTGGCTGGGCATGTGCTCCAGGCCAGGTCAGGGTTCTCCATGGAATTTCCCTCCACTAACTAGGAGGAGGGTCTAGAACACAGCCCGGCTACCTAGGCCACTTTCCAGTGACGCACAGAAGAGTCCCGTTTGAGGTAGGAAAGTGTGAGACAGGCAAAGACAGAAACAAAGCCCAGCAGAAGTAATTCAGGAAGGAGCCGATGGTCTGACACGGGGCTAGGGGTCTGCTTCCTGTCTGTCCTTCCTGTCTCGTGCTAGACACCAAAGGGCCTGTTCTCTTCAGCTACTTTGAATGGGACTGCAGCTCCTGGGTGCCGAAAACTTGACAAATGCACCAGTAAAGACAGAATCAGTAAAGAGGCAGTGGAGAGCTGAGATAGAGGAGGTGAACTAGGAATGCGGCTGGTGCTGGCCACCTAGAGTCGCTGAGTATCCACACTGCTCGCAGCTGGCCTTGGCTCTGCTGCGTGATGGTATCCAAGCCCCAGGTGTACATTCTTGGTTCCTTCTTTGACTCTGCTCAGGTTTCACTGAAAAAACAACAACAACAACAACAACAACAAAAACAACAATCACATCCACCATCTACTTCAATACTTTTTCTCTTTCCCAATCCTCAGTTCTTCCTTACTTCCCAAACACATAAAATTTTCCCCAAATAGGTGCAGTTTCCCAAACATAAATATTTCACAGACACATGAAAAAAATGAGTAAATTCTGCTCCTAAAAGTTCTGAGAGGCCAGGGTCCATGCTAATGTCACTGGCTAGAAGAGAGTCCATGTAGCCACACAGATTTGCTTCTGTGAGGCTTCTAAACATTCGGAAGGCAGCTTCAGCTGTGTTCTGCTGAAATTACTATGTGTTTACCAACTGTGCTTTATTCCAAAATTGCTTTGGTTTGTAAAGTAGAAATTGAGAGAGGGGTGTACTCGTGCAATCCATTTGTTGCGTTTATTGCTGATCTGTGTGCACGTGTATGCGTGTGTGCCTGTGTGCACATGTGTGTTTTTATGTCCACCAAACCATACAAATCTGTGAGCACAAAAACCAGGTCTCACTGAATCTCTGACCCCCGCCGAATCTTCAGATGTACTGGTGGTGTCTGTGTTTCTCTTCCACACACGATCAGCTCTTAGCATTCCACAGACCTCAGCTTCTCCAAGTGTGAGCTCCAGGTAAGAGGCGTCAGCATCCCTGAGGCAGAAGGCTGCAAGTGCAGAATCAGGATCTCCCCTCTCCAAACGATCCATTCGTCAGTCTGCTAGGCTGTATGCACAAGCAAGTTTGAGCAATGCTGTCTTGGACAACAGAAGTCCCAGAAATAGTATTCAGGCCTCCCAGAGGACATGACACACCACAAAAGTCTGTAATTTAAAGCAGAATCTGCCCAGGTGGAAAGTGCAGCTATTCTGGAGACAGAGGGAGGTCTCAAAGTGCTGGAAGGGATGTTCTGAGTCAAGCAGCAACCACATACCAGCAGCATGGAAGAGGCCATGGGTACCAGAGAGGCAGGTGAGAGGCAAGGAGGGCTGCAGCCAGAGAGATGGGCTGACAGGCTGATGGGCAAGGGGACCTGGACAACCTTTCTTAGACGGAGCTGATGGGTAGGAGGAGGAAGAGAATTATGGGGTTAGGCATTTCAGAGCTATGAGGTGCTGCGATTCCGAACCCAGAAAAGATGTGGACTGTAACAGCAGACAGCTATCAGCTTCCTAATCTTAGAGTCAATTGCTTCAGTAGAGTGGAAAAATAAATTAACAGGGCCACTTCAGAACCTAAATGAATTGGGCTTTAGCCAGCGTCTGCAGGAAGCTTCGCTAAGAACTCAGTAAATGACTTCCATCTGAAAACACAGCGCCAAGAGCACTTAATAAGTGCACTCTGGCCGGGATAATGATGGTCCACACGTCGCAGCATCATCCGCCCAGCGAAGCAAACGTTCCCAGGGAGCGGTAACACGGATCCGGGACGGGCACACACCTCCCGCAGAGGACTCTGCTGCAGTATGGCCGGCCGCAGTCCTGAAATTGCTGGGTGAGCGTTTCTGCTCTTGTCAGGGTCTGGATCGCCTGCGCCCGATCCTGAGCACGGTTTACAGCGGTTTGGGGTCAGGCTCGGAGGCCAGGGCCCTGGAAACTAGGACTCCTTGGGGAACCACGGGATCGAAATAGGTCACCGCGGGGCTCTCAAGAAGCATCCGAGGCTCGCCAGGGCGCGGGAGGCGCGCGCTGCCAGCGGGGCGGGGTGGGCGCGGGGCGCAGCGGCCGGGACAGCCCACCGGCCAGCCCCGCGCCCGCAGCTTGTCTCGCCTCCGCCTGGCGCCGCGCCCCGGCGCAGCCGTGACTCGGGGGGCGCGCGCGGTCTCCCGGGGCTGCCGCGGGCGGGCGGGAGGGCGGGAGCGCGCGGGGCGGCGGCGCGCGCAGGGAGCGTGCGGGGCGGGCGGCGCGGGGGAAGCGGCGGAGCCGAGCCTGTGCTCACCTGCAGCCGCGCGGCTCACCTGCGGCGGATCGCGCCCCGCGCCCTCCCCGCCCGCTCCGCAGCGACATGCGACAGGAGTAGCCCTCGCTCTTGGGAAGCCGCGAAGGAGCCCCCTCGGCCGAGTCACGCCAAGGTGACCCCCTCGATCTCTCCCCGGCTCCCCTTCTGTTCCCCCACCCCCGCGTCCGCCCCGCGTCCCCAGCGTGAAGGGAGCGGCGGCCACGCGTGGCATCCGTCTGTGTGTCTGTCTGTCGCCGCACCTGCACCCTGCACACCTGCCTTTTGTGGCCTCCCTGGCTGCTCTGTGCGCGCGGGGGGCGTCGGGGACCCCCTCTTTGTTCTAATCGCTGCTGGAGGGTGTGCACGCGCCGGGCTCGGTTTTGGAGCGGGGAGCTGGAGGCTGTTTAAATATTCCACCGAGGACGGCGCCTGGCTCGCGGTCCGCAGCTGCCCAGATGCGAAAGGGTCTCTGGTCTGCAGCGTGCAAGAGGTGACTCTCAGACGCGCATCCCACGCGTGCCTGCCGCGGCCACCCTCGTGTTTGGAGTCCTGCCAGGCCCCTTCCCAAGACCAAACGGCATTTAATGGTGGAGTTTCATCCACAGAGACTTTGGCTTTTGTTTTATTTCTCCTCGGTGTATCATTCCGGAGGCATGTGGCGTCTGAGACTTGGGGCTGGCTTTCTGCGTGTGTGCGTGTGTGTGCATGTGTATTTCTGCATGAGGTTGGATTGCCACTCTGCTGTGCCTAAACATTAAGAAGCCTGTCTTTTCGTTGAAGAGGACGGGTTAAAATGAATGAAGACCTGCAGGTCAATGTAAGCGGGCTGCCTCCGGAGCATTTAGATGCCACTGCTGCGGAGAACATCTCAGCCGCTGCCTCCGCCCAGGCTCCTGTCGCTGAGCCAGAGCCTGAGCTCGTAGTCAACCCCTGGGACATTGTCCTGTGCACCTCGGGAACCCTCATCTCCTGCGAAAATGCCGTGGTGGTCCTTATCATCTTCCACAACCCCAGCCTGCGAGCACCCATGTTCCTGCTGATAGGCAGCCTGGCGCTGGCAGACCTGCTGGCCGGCATCGGACTCATCATCAATTTTGTGTTTGCCTACCTGCTTCAGTCGGAAGCCACCAAGCTGGTCACCATCGGGCTCATTGTGGCCTCCTTCTCCGCCTCTGTCTGCAGCTTGCTGGCCATCACTGTGGACCGCTACCTCTCGCTCTATTACGCTCTGACCTACCACTCGGAGCGGACGGTCACCTTCACCTATGTCATGCTGGTCATGCTCTGGGGGACCTCCATCTGCCTGGGGCTGCTGCCAGTGCTGGGCTGGAACTGCCTCCGGGACGAGTCCACGTGCAGTGTGGTCAGGCCCCTGACCAAGAACAACACGGCCATCCTTTCCGTCTCTTTCCTCTTCATGTTCGCACTCATGCTTCAGCTCTACATCCAGATCTGTAAGATCGTGGTGAGGCATGCCCATCAGATAGCCCTGCAGCACCACTTCCTGGCCACGTCGCACTACGTGACCACCCGGAAAGGGGTCTCAACGCTGGCTCTCATCATGGGGACCTTTGCAGCTTGCTGGATGCCTTTTACGCTCTATTCCTTGATAGCAGATTACACGTACCCCTCCATCTACACCTACGCCACCCTCCTCCCCGCCACCTACAACTCCATCATCAACCCTGTCATATATGCTTTCAGAAACCAGGAGATCCAGAAGGCCCTCTGCCTCATCTGCTGTGGGTGTGTCCCACCCAGTCTGTCCCAGAGAGCGCGGTCACCCAGTGACGTGTAGCAGTCTTCCAGATAAGAGCACACTGCCTGTGACAAGCACTCCCACTGCCACGGAATGGCCAACCTGCTCCCTTTAACTTCTCTGCACTGGACTCCTCCTCAAGCCACCAGAGCACTTAGCATCAGTGAAACAGTGACATCATTTTGATGAGTTAAGTGATTAAAGTGAAAATAACGTTACCAGTGTTGCTACTCTTTAAAAAATATCGTTGGCCTCTCTGCTCAACATGTTTTACTCGGGTGTGGTTTTATACTTTGTTTGGGGATTGGTGGAAAAGAAGGAATATGACCTGGCCATGATGTTATAATGTTTTACATAAACAAGTTCCAGAGTTTTTACCTGGACTTTCAAATAAATCAGAGTTATTAAGGAACATGGGGAAGGAATTACTTTTTCAACCTTAAAAAAAAAAAAAAAAGCCCAGGTAGGTTTTAAATGCTGCATGGATCCAACAGAAGACGATCTCTTTCAAGCCAACAAAAATAGTTTACATAATGATGTGGGGAAAGGTCCTGTTTTTATTAGCATGTATTCAGTAATAAGTTACCAACACTAAAACCATGAACTGGTTCTGATTTGTTGCTTTTGCAGTTACTGTTCATAAAAATTACCTTCTCATTTCTATAAATGTTGCAAGTCCTTCTGCATGGTTGCTGTGTTAGCTGGACCACTGCTTTCAAATGTTGCCATGTAAATCCAGAATTAAAACAGTCATATGTCACCATAGTTTTCTGTATGTCTTTTCCAAAATGAATTGTGAAATAGCTTTTGATTTATATATGAGGTAGGATTGATTAGATCCACCATTGTACTTTCTTATGCTATAGTCTGATTGGTTTGAGGCAACAAAAGAAAATCAAAATATTTATTCAAAGTAGATTAAATTTATTTTAATATGTTCTGAAAATTAATATGACAACATCATGGAATATGCAAACAGCACATTTTCTAACTCTAAGAATATACTAATAGTTACTCTTGAATCAGACAATTTAATACTAAAATTGAAATCTTCTGGTTCATATTGTCTGTATTGTAGAACGCATTTGAAACAGGTGGTCTCTTGTCTTAATATTTAAGTTTGTGAGTGTACAACATACATTCCTGACTATGGAATTTATCATCTGTATCTTACAAGTTCACAAGCAGAATAACCATGTGGCTATTCATGAAAAGTTATGTTTGGACTCTTTTTCACTAAAAAACAAAAAATAAAAAAACTCCTTAAATGTAATAAAAACTGTGTTGCTTCTGTATAGAGAGCAAAGATTTAGTTGGAAATTACACAGAATTGACTTTAAGCGTATTGTAAAGTCACTGTGTCTGAGCATCATTTCTGTTAGTGCTGACAGATACAGACGCAGACTGTAGCTCTCCATCTGCAGTGGATTTAAGGCTGTGTCTCTCTAACCAGTGAAAGACTCTCTGGACAGCGTATCAGCTTCAGCTGGCAGCAAAGCCAGGTCTCAGGGTCCTTAAGGGAGATTGTTGGTAATAAGTTAACCTTATTGGTTTGTTCTAGATACCATGTCCACCGTGGTCACAGCCTATCTGGTAGCTGTCTGCTCTCATGCCTTCTCTCCAAAGCTGCTTCTCATATGTTGCTATTGTGACTAGCTCCCCTACTGAAATCTTCCTCTTCCCTGAGGTCACTTATGGAAGCAGGAAAAGGACTGAAATACTTAAGAAGTGGAAAAGAATTTTCAATGCCTAACACTGTCTGATAGACCTAATCAAGCTGATGCCTTGCCTTTAAAACATTTTTTGAACATTGTATAGACTTGGCATGTTGAATGAGTCTGTTTTGAATCACTTAAAATTTCAGAGCATCTCTCCATGAGAGAAATGACAAAGGGAAGAGAAATATCTTTAATGAGATTTTAAAGCAATAAATGATGCTTTTGTAGAAATGATGACTCCTCTTTTCCTATCTCATTAGTAAGAATTATAAAGATGACAATCCATCAGGTTTTTAGCAATGTGTGTGCTAATCTTTTGCTGTAGTCACAAAACAGCACATTTTTCAAAAACCAAGACCAGGAGGAGAGGCTAAGCAATGTCCTGAGGCCACAGAGCCACAGGGCCGAGCCGGCCTTTGCAGCCAGGTTTTCTGAAGTTTCAGTTTTGCTTTCTGCCTGCATAACATTGCCTTTCATCCCTCACTGGAAAAGAGGGCAGGGGAGACGTTGCTCTCTAATATGGAACTGTCACAACATTTGGGTTCTAAAATGAACGCATAAAGCTTCCTGTTTAAAATGACACGTCAAGCGATGCTGTGGCTGCATGTGAAGGACATTTGTTTGTGTGCTTCGTGCCGAACCATGATTTTAATACCTGATTTCAGCTAAGAGATTTGTTTTTCAGTTCAACTATGACATGGCCTTATTATTTAAATCATGAGAATTTTTGGATGTTTAGATGGTTTTCTAAAAGGCTTTGTTTTTATCAGATTACTATGAAATATGCATACCTCTTTTTCTATATGTGTATGTGTGTATGTGTGTATGCATACAGACATTCAATAACTTTAACTTTGCAACAGGACCAAATGTATCATGGAAAAAAGTCATATTTCCTCAAGCCCAGAGGTATCAGATAGTATTTATTTGTATTTATTATTGGTATTGGGAATTGATTTTAGGGACTTTTGTGCTGATCTACATCCCTAGCTCTTTTTATTTTTAAAATTTGTTTATTTTGAGATGGAATCTCACTTATTTGCCAGGCTCAAACTTATCATCTTCCTGGCTCAGGCTCCCAGGGTCTGGGATTTCGGGTGCATGGCTCCACACTTGATTATCTGGTAGCCTTTTATTCCATGAAATTACAGTTTCTGATTACCATAGAACTTATGTTGTTTTCCATAGAAACAATTGTCTTTGTGATTGGAACAATTTAATTATCTTACTGAACCCTTAGCTGAAGTTTGTTATTTGGGTTGTGGCTGTTCAGTGTGGGATTTCTTCTTATTCTTCTAACTATTTATTTCTGTGGCTCAGTCAAGTTTTGTTCATTTGGGATTGAACCCAGGAGTCTTGTGCATGCTAGGCAGGTGCTCTATCCCTGCACTATTTGCTCACTGACATTTGTTTCCTGAGGGTGGAGAGGACTGGCTTCCTTCCTGGTACCTCAAGTGGAGGAAGGCTCAGCCCCTTCCTCCTTGCTAGCCTGACTTAAGGACCCCAGTGGAGAAGGGAAGAAGCAGAATTCCTCTGCTGTAGTGGCTTGGTGAAGTAGTCTTGGGTTTCCCTCATTCTGAAATAGGCTTAAAATACGAAGTTCAAAGGAGAGAGAAGAAAAGGAGACATTTAGTGCTGATCAAAGTATTTTGGAGATTTCTTAAACTTTTTTTTTAAAAAAAATAGCTTAATCCATTATTAAACTAATGATTTCATCCATTTCATGGTCATCATATATTTGTCCTAGGAAGTTGGGATTAAGATTTGCTACTTCAGATTTAAAATATGTGTTACATAAGTTAACTACTGTGGCATTTTCTGAACAATATGTAAGTTTATATCTTGATTGTATGCTCATTGTAAGGAGCAGGTTGCGTTACTGTCCCCTTTAAAGATCTTATTGATTATTGAATTATTTTATTATCTAGTTAGAAACTTTAAATACAGTTCAAACTTTAAGAATCATTGCATTACTAGCTTTATACATCATGGCTTTAATTAGCAGATCTATTTCTTTCTAGCAAACAATCCAGAAAAAAGTATGGACATCTTGACCAGGGCTCCTGTAACATTCAAACCTGCAACAGCGTATGGGCTGTCTGGGAATCTTGTTAAGATGCAATTGTGTGTCAGTGGCCTGGCCCGGCAGCAGCTTCATGGCTTCTGGGTGACGTGGTGACAGTGGTCTATAAACACTGTGTGTGCCAAGGGTGAGCGTCATAGTCTTAGTGTTCTTAAAATAAAAATACAATGTATACGTGTTCTGTAAATAAATATGTAAATATGTATTTAAAGTGTTGTTCTTGTCAGAGGTCAATAGAAAACCTGTCTGGTTCTTTTAGAACTTTTCAGTGTGTATCTGGCAGAAATCTATAAATGAGTTTTTCCTGTGTCACTGTTCTCACTTGTTAAATCCTTCATTGCCACTGTTTTGAGAGTTCTTTAGACACTTCCCAGATCCACTGTGTGTTTCTAGACATGTGAGATAAGCCCACAGGCTGTCATCTCATTTTCCAAGGACAGTTTTAAACTCGTTACAAGTGCCTATCAGTTATTTTGATATTTGAATTTCTGGGTCTGGCTTATTTAGTTTAACTCTGTGCCCTCCAGCTCCATCCATTTTGCTGCAAATGGCATCATTTCACTCTTCTTTATGGCTGAGCAATACTCCAGTCTGCTGGTTTATGTCAGGATTCTTTTTCCTCCCCGACAGGAGTGGTGGTGGGGGGGCAACGTGTACCTATATGAACTCACCTTGAAATAGTTGAGATGAAAACCTTGTTTTGGGGGGTTCTAAAATTTAACTGAATTCATTCCACAGCAAACTTTTTCTAGACAGGCCTAGCAGAGGAATTTTAAAAGACCTCGCCTCATCTGACATTTATGTATAACGTTTTACTTCTCAGCATCAAAACTGCAATTATGAACAACTAGTTCTGAGACAACAATATACAGTATATTAACTAGTGTTCGTTCCTAATTTTTTCTTTTTTGAAATTCTGTATCATTTCTATCCTTTTTTATGTTTTGCTTTTTAAAATAAAAAAAGCTACTGTTAATGTTAACAGTTACCCAGTTTATTCCCTTTCCAGGGCTTCCTTTGTGTCCAGGAAGGTGAGAACATGTTTTTTCAGTAGTAATCCCAGCAGCTCAGGAGGCTGAGGCAGAAAGATAGCAAGTTTGAGTCACTGTGAGAACTTAGTGCAACTTACCTCAAAATAAAAACTAAAAAGGACTAAGGCTGTGGATCAGTGGTACAGCACCCTGGGTTCCAGCTCCATTGATGTAAAAAATATATATATACACTAAAGTACATACTGAGGTGGGTACTAACGTATAACTTAAATAACAAAATTGCAGAAAATATTTCCTAAAGAAACCTAGGAAATTTTTAATCATAAAAATTCTGATACCAGTAGCAAGCATCAGTGAGCAGGCTTTCTATTAGAAATGAGTTTGGAGCAGAAGTGAAGGCATGTATTTGGACACAGATTCCCTTGACTCGGGACAATTTCAAGCAGAATATTTTAAAAAGTGAAAAAGCCTCTTTTGGAATTCTCTGTGAGGTTTATGTTGAATTTCTCCCCAAATGACCCACTTGGAACTCATGAGATTCTTAGGATTCTGAGAATGCAAACCTTTCAAATGGGGAGGGATGGTGGCCTTTTCAGATGTGCTATGGTTCCTGGGGAAACTTGTTCTGGTCCCACTGCATATGCACGCCTTCTAGGATCCTGTATAGAATCGAACGATTGGGAGACGTGTGGAATAGAATTTTCTATACCAAATATAAATAACGTAAGTCATTACCTTTAGAAACTGAAATTTCACTTCCCCTCAATGTGTAGCAGTGTTTTAATGTCACTGATCTTTCCAATTATACTCTAATTGTTTAGTCTCGGCCCAGCCCAAGTCACAAGAACCTCCTGGTCAGTCAACATTTATATCTCGAAAATATTCACTCAATGATCCTGATAAAATTACTCATTATTTAAATCACCTACTTCTGATTCCATCTATCTCCCTCGATGTTTTCTTGCTTATTTCCCCCAGACCATCTCCTGTTCGTCCACACTCCCCTAACCTCCAGGACTCAAGCTGGGCAGGAGCACTGTGCTCCCTGAGCACGACCCTGCGCTCTGACGACCCTGCCTCTGGGCTGCGTGTGTGCAGCAGTGGACCCTGGAGTGTGGGCCCTGTCAGCCACAGCAGCCTTGGAGACATAAAATGCAGACTCTCAGGCCCCGCCCGGACTTCCTGCTCAGAGCTGGGGCCCAGCCATTCACTCTTTCACGAGCCCGCTGCATGATTCGAGCACACACTAAAATTTGAGACCGTGCCAGATAGCTCTGACTGAGTCCCAGCACTGTACTAAATGGTGATAAAACTCAGGACGTTAACACCCAGCTGCTGCCGTGTGACTAGCAGGAAACCCTCACCTTGGACTTTATGGGTGACTTGGGTTTGTGTCCATGCTGTCTTGTGCTGGTTCCCTGGCAGTCACTGTTGTCAAGGCTGCCTCCTAATATGTCAAGCTGGTCAAACTCCTGCGACTTCTACCAGGACTACACCGCTGCCACCCGCTGGGGACCATCGGGTGAGGCCAGGGAAGTTTCCACACGCAGGGTACCCACAGGCCCTGCTTTAGGTCTTTTGAACCTTACAATGGTGCAAAAATGAATTGAACCCAGTAGAAATGGTACTTCCAGTTTGGAATTTTGCTCTTTCCCTGGATGTGGATGCGTGATTCGATCCTTTCCTGCAATATGGAGCAGACAGAAAGACAATTCAGGTGAAAGAAAAAGTGTGACCAGATTTCTCTCTTGGCATCGTGGAAGTGGTCTTTCCCCTTTCCTGTGCATGATCAACAAGCAAGTTTGCTTGATTCTGGGCACTGACCACATTTCATGTGCCGACACAGCCTAGAAGTGTTCACAAGTGCATTTTATCCTTTCAAACTACCACACTGACTTACCTCATTTTCCTTTCTTGGGGGTGGAGTATTATTTTATATTGTAGTAGCATGTACTCTCCCAGGGTAGAGAGGTAAAGCCTTGCACTGGAGGCTTTGGGAGACTGTCTTCATGTCCCCTTCCTGTCGCTTCCTGCTTGACTGGCTTTGGCCAGTCACTGAACCTCTCCAAGCCTCCCTGTTCTGATCTTCCAGTGAGCACTATAAGGTGGGCCAGGAAAGGTTCAGCATGCACAGTACCCGCAGACCCTGCTTAGGATTTTTATTCTTTACAATGGTGCAGAAGTGAATTGCATCCAGCAGAGACTGTGCTTCCGGTTTTGAATTTTGCCCTTTCCCTGGGGTAGGGATAGGTGACTCCATTCGCTCCTGTAGTGCTGAGCAGAACAGCGCCCACAGCTCCCCATCAGTCCCAGGATCACAAAGGGAGACCAGGGATACTCCACGGCCTGCTGTGTCACTCGGCTGCAGTGCTGACTGGTTAGGTGAATTGACTGCATGGTTGGTTTATGATGTATTCAGTGGGTTCATCGGGATGTAGCCCCATCCTGAGTCAAGGAGTATCCATGCTGACCCCACTGTGTTCCCCTGAAAATAAAACCAACTCCAAGATTGCAGCAGGACCTAGTTTTAGGGGATGTCTTATTCTAGTCATGTGTAGCACACCAAGCTACAACCACCTATCTATTCATGGATAAAAATCTGCATTTATTCAAACACACATGTCATCTTCTTCTGGAACATCCTCAGAACTCTCCCAGTCCCAATGCCAGCCTGAAGTTTTCATGAATTCCTCACCCGAGTCCTGGCCTTTTGTGAGCTGGCTTCCAGGGTTTCCGTTAAATCAGCTGTTCTCTGAAGACTCACGCGGCAGGAGCAGTAACAAACACGGTGACCATTAAGAAAGCACGAAGAACTGCAGGAGCCGAAATTCTGAAACCATTTCTTTATTTCACACAAGCACACTCACTATGTCTGTCACCTCACACGGGGTCTGAAAGACCCACCCACGGCCCTGCCTCATCAGTCACGCACAGTATCACTCTCTGTGTCTGTCCTGGGACTGGTCATCAGTACCAAGTTCATCTGTTTACATAGGTGTTTACCTCTGCCCAAATGGCACTGCTTGGGTTCTTACAAATACTTAATTTTAATTTATATTATCACTTAAGTATTAATGTCAAAAATATTGTTTACTTACATTTGATGAAATATTAATATTATTCTATAAATTAATGTATACATTGTGTGTTGCAACAGATGTACTAAATGCCTCCATCTGGTTGATGATCTTAACTAGGGCCCATTTTAGGGATAGGGTTTATATTATGAACACCCTGAAAAAACATGCTAGGGCTTATTTTCCAGTTAAATAAGCTAGGGCTTATTTTGGGGGGAAATGTGGTGTCTACATGGATGCAACTTTCCATTAGTAGTATTATTACTACTATGACCGCCTTGATATATTGTTGCTATTACTTCCCAGGTTCTGTCAATTACTATATTGCCTCCAGTGGTTCCTGAACTAGGCACCCACAGTAAGTCCTGCATTCAGCAGTGTCATGGGGGATGCCTTGGTCTTCTCCCCGATCACAAGTAAGGAAACTAGTACGCAGAGAGGTGGGCGGTTGCCTCAAGCCATAAAGATTTTCTGTAAGTCACTATTAGATGCAAGTAGTGCCTGTCAGGAAATCAGACAAGTCGGCCAAGAGTGACCTGTGCCACGGGAGATGAGAGACTCTCCCATGACACCTCTGGCTCAGCGCAGCATCTGTGGACAGCACAGATGCACGGCAGGCACTTGGAGTAGTGAGCTCTGCGAGCAGGCAGGCCCCGTGCAGACAGTGGACGTCCACCCGCCCAGGGGCCCAGAGAGAGGGTGGACCCAGGTGCAGTGCGTGTGGAGGAGGCCAGAGGTTTCCCAGCAGGGTAAGCATGGTGAGAGTCCCAGCAGGAGAGCGAGTAAATGACAATGGCTTGCACTTTCTCAGGATGGAGCTTGCTACACACAAACTCTTTTTTTTTTCAGGTGACTTTTAATTTAAACTAATTTAAAAAATTCTTTCATTTTTCAACTGCATTTAAATGAATTTCAGTCTATTCACCAAAAGCCCACATTTAAGGACTTTGTAAACTTTAAGAATGTAAGATATTAGAAACAGTATTTGTGTTTCTTGAAATCCACCATGATATGTGTTCAGAAATCCACCAACAGTGTGTTCTTGTCAGCAAAAAGTTCTCATGTGTGTAGACAGGGATGTGCAATGGCCTCACTTTGTGGAGGAGGAAACCCAGGCCTGCGGGCTGTGGACTCAC